CGCTGGCCTCGTTCGGCCAGCCAACAGGAGCACTCTGCCGCGGCGCCGCACCTCTCAGCCAGATGTATGTTCCTATTTCCCCTCGCCCGCACGTCTTAGTTCCCGGTGCGCACCTAGCGAAGCACGTCTGCTGAAGGCGACATAAATGGCCAGAACCTCTCTTGCACCGTGCCGCGCAGCGGCAGCTGTCCGTGAGGCGTATATGCGCTGCTTATACGCTTACCGTCCGCGCCCCGGCACCGGTGGATCCCCTCCCAGCCGCGCTACCTACACTCAATCCCAGCGTGCTTCACACGCTCATCTCTGGAGCCCACCCCTTCGTCCTTCTCAGGGCCTTTTTCGCGCGGTTGGGCGTTCCCATTGGCCGCTTCGGCGTGTGTATTCCAGAGCGAAAACTGGGCTCAGGCTGCATCGGGAAGGCAGCCTTCCAGAACAGCTTGCTGATAGACTCGAGCGCGGTTGATGAGAAGTGGATGCCTGGATGTGAGCTTCGCCGGCGTGGACGCGAACCGGCCCTGGTGGAGGTCGAAGCGCATGGCGCTGGGATCCCGAGCTATTCAGCGCGCTGGGCCAGTGGGCACGCCTCACACAAATCCGGTTGTCCTACCACAGCCGCTGTTCGACTGGTCGCCCAGGGTCGGGTATGTCACGACATATGACAGACTGGAAGCGGGCTCAGCTGGCTTGGTCCCATGCCCCTTGGCTGGTGATGTGGCACCCGTAACCGACGGGTGCAGCTGACATTGGCCGCAGCAGCGTCTCGTTGATGCAGCTGGCTGGCCATTGATTCGAGCTGGGGCACGCCGAAATGCGAATTCGGTGGGTATATGCGTTTCTCGGGATACGTTATCAGACTGCTATGTGTACATGAGATGTCGATCATTGATAGCATATCATTGCCAGGAGAGAATGTAGAACTCGCTGGCGTGGAATCAGCCTGGAGACTCGCAAGAGACCACAGAGACCACGACCTTCAAAGCGGCACTCCATCCCCCACCGGCCATTTCTCTTCTCCTACCGGTGTCAAAGCATAGAAACGGGGCAATCCCTCTCTTGACCAGCCGTGCCCATTGGCTACTCTGTGGCTTGCCCTCATGCCTTCCCATGGTCCCGGCTCCACCTTCATAGAAGCACGCCTAGGCCTAGGCCTCGTACTAGTCAACCCCCTTGGCATGCTTGCTTCTCTATAGCTAAGTCTTCGGTGCGTCATTCAATCTGTTCTGGTCTGTGCACGTCGTACGGGGCCTCGTGCCCGCAGATTGGTGTGCAGACGCGGTCTGGCCCATCCAGAGACTGTACCCCACCCATCCGCTCGTGATGAGGGTCCGTCCGCAAAGGCAGCCCCCCTGATTGGCAGACGCTTTCAGGCCTTCCATTTGTTACTGCCTGTCATTGTGTATGAGGGCTCTGTGGCCCAGGCCCTCGCTGCATTTTAATTCTTCTAGCACGCCAATTGGCTTTTGTACCCCCCCAGTCCGAAATAGGTCCGTACTCAGCTTTGTAGGCTGTGATTGGCCCGACGATCCTGTGCACTGGAATGTAAGCCACCGGACATCTGACGTCAGGTGTCGGACTTGCGCTTTTGTCCTCTTGCAGAGCATTTGCAGAGCTTGACGACCGGGTTCTGTCTTGTCAGGAACATGGATAGAAGCGTCGTGCGAAAAGTGCCCCCCGGCGACTAGTAAACTCAAAGAACAGGGTCATCTTCATTGTGGTGGTCTAGGCTCGAGTGTGCTTATACGCCGGCTCAGCTATCGACGTCTCGCCGAGTACAGTAAAATTTTCTGTGCGATTGCACATTGCATCCGATTGGTAGGTTAAGTGTAACGCTGCTCGGAGGTTGCTGCTCGAGATCGTACTTTGTGCTGCAACCGACATTGACAAATCCGTCGGCCGACCCGACCTCTCCTGCGCGCTCGGTCACTCATCACTGCGACCAGACCCTGCGAGCCAGACCCCGTCTGCGACTCCGTAGTTCCCGCGCTCGTGCGCTCAGGTTTGGGCCCTAGCTGGGGACGTCGAAAGGGGGCTCTCTGCGACATGACGTCAAGGTTGCGATGCGCGCGCCCCGGAATGCTGCAGACCGCCACGGTACGGGAAGGATGAGAAGGTAGAAGAGCAGCGGGAGACAGAGGAGGCAGGACCCGTTGCCCGGTAACTCGTCTGTCGTACGGACGTGAAGCATTGCCGGAACCCCCATGCGGTGGTGTACACCGGTCCAGCACTGGCAGCACTGGCGTGCGCGTCCTGCTCACATGTCCAAGCGTTCGCGGTCAGAGGCACGTCCGGGAGCACACACCCGAGTCGAGGCCTGTCGCTGTTCTCCCTCCCGGCCCTGCGCTGCCATCGATGCTACGTGTGGCCCTCGTCTGTGCGTGAAGATGACGTCATCGTGTCGCCTGGCGCCCGTCTGTGTCCCACGCACAGCACGCTGCGAGCTGCCCTCGCAGTTCCGTGTCCAAGTGACTGATCTCCAGTGCAAGAGTCATGCTCTGCCATGCTACACGCAGCCCTCGACTCCACAGCCTAGATCACGGTGCAACGGGAAGACGACGGTCTCGATGCTGGTCCCCACGCCGGACGCCCGCGACCACTGGCAGTGCGCGACCCAACAAGTCTCAGCTCGGGTGAGACATCCGCGATCCACAAGCGGTTAAAGTCTCAGTGACGGCATGAAGTTGCAGGAAGTTGCCCCTTCAAAGCTTCACAGCTTCACAGCTTTTCTTTCGTCGACTTCGACAATATTCGTAGCGGCCGACTCGCCCACGGTAAGAAATCCTATCTCGATCATACGTAGACAATTTTGCTCATATCACATGCCTTCTCTCTGGGGCCCTTTCTACCACTCCTGCCTGAACAGCGTGAAGACAAATGAATTACCCCGTACAAGAGGGCACTCTCCGCACCACGACGATCTCAGGGTCATACTGCTCAAGCTTTGAATTCATATCGCCTGCCAGTCAAGTTCTTCATTTTGGTTTTCTATGAACAATCGTCGCAAACGCCTCCCTCATTCTACCCCGCATCCCCACAAGTCTCCCTGCCGGTCTCCTGCTGCGCAAGAGCTGACGACGCCCCCGCATGACCGCGTTCGACATCCCGTTATAGGACAAGACGCCCATGGTTCGAGCCCCGAGCCGGTAGAATCCTCCCGCACGAAGAGGGTGCGCCGAGCCTTCTGTGGGTCGGCTGGCCACTCGCGCACGGATTGGGTGAGTCGTGCGCACGGATGCATGTCGCGTGAATGCGATCTGGCCTGGATATGGAGCAGCGGGCGTGTCACAAGACAGGCGCGGATCCTCCATGCGGAAGCGCGCCCCTCACGGGCGATCCTTGGCTCATTCGGCCTCTGTCTCGACTGTCGTCCCGACCTGAACTGGGCGTGGTGTGGCGTTGCGAGTCCCAGAAAACCATGCAGGTCTGCTCCCGAGAGCCAATGGCGACACCGGAGCCTGTCGTGATGCTGGTGTACGCTTATGTACAGGTATGGTGAGTCCTTACCACGGTTGCCGCCACGTGTAAGGAACCTCCCATTGTATGTATACTTCTAGTAACATGTCCGCAGACGTCTACCACAGGAGATGATGCTCCGCTCCATGGCCATCAGGGTTCGGCTTTGACTGAAGCTGGTGCACAAGCTACCGATGCCGTACAACACCCCAGGCACCCCTCTCCACCTGCCGAAGTGGCCGACCGACCGACGTCCTTGTTTACAGCTCTGGCAACGCGCACGACTGCTCGTTCCTGGAATCAGTCGCGAGGCTCGTGGTCCACGGTCCAACTTCACACGACATGTCCGGCCAATTGGGCGCTCTTTCGCACGCTCCGCTTTCTCCGCGGCGCGCCCCTCCCCGCCGTCCGTTCATAAAGTTCATATCCCAAAGCTATACATCTCGGAAGGATGCATCGAGTATACGGCAGCCTTCTGTCACCGAGGCAGCTGCTCCCGCCATTCAATACGCGCGACGGTCGGTGGTCCCTGGGACCTGTCAGCCACAGGCGTACCTGCGAGACCGGCTCAGCATCACTTGACCACACCTGCAGATGTCGGTTGGGGATGTTGGCCGCCTATGCATGGAACGAACGGCTGCGGCATGGTGGCAACATACGTTCTCGCGCGGCGTCCCTGCATCATTCATTCCATTCCTGTCGTTCGTTCGTCAATCGTGCTCTCCGCTGGCACGACCTGGCGATGCCTCGACACGCAACCTCCGCCAGTCTCGATCGATCGAACGCGAAACCAGACGGCCGGAGGCTCGCACAGTGCAGGGCCATTCCCCGCCGCCGTGCCTGCCCCCCGCGCGGGGTACTTTGATGGCACGTCCACGCGGCGGCGCCCTCGTGACACACTCGGCGGGTTCGCAGCAAGAAGTGCCGCTGTTGCTGTCGCAGCGCTGCACATCACTGTTCCTCGCCCGTTCCGTGAGGGGGTCAGATTACAAGGTTTGATGGGGCCGCTGCTGACGGAGTCCCACTGTCGCGTAACCAGGCCCCCCCCCTGCGAGGGCATCTTCGAAGAGCGTTGTCATGGCCTTCGTGGCACTGCGGCCCACGAGGGCCTGTTCGTCGCCAGTGCATTGCCCGGGACATCAGCTGGTGTCGCCAAGGGAAGGACGCGAGTCCTCTGACATATCATACGGGAGGTCAGCGACCGGGGCCGCAAAAACCGGCGGCATCGGTCGGTCGCAGGAAAGCAGGCGAGTCCACGTAGGACTCGCGTTGTTCCCTTGTCTGTTTGACAGACAGGAGGGGGCGATAGCTGGTAGCGACGGCGATTGGTCGTGGACACCGTGGGTCTTGCCCCGAGGACGTTCTGGGTCACGGAAGGACGAATTCGCTGGAACTGAATGGCAAAACTGCGTCAGCGCCGACGCCCGCACTTGGACGCCACGAAGTCGCGCCACCAGTTTGCGTCCGACCAGTGATCGGGATGCCATGACTTGTTTCCTCGGCTTTTGCGAACCGCCCTCGGCCCAAGCCCCCAGAGCGCCCGCGACGCCGCCCGTCGGCGCCCCAGGCGCGTTCGTGGTCTGTACCCGTCGATTGTCCGTCCCTC